TTTCTTCTCTACAAAAGCATCATTTATTACTATATTTGACTATAATTTCATCATGGCTAGTGGTCCTCTTCAATGCATGCACAAGGAATTTAACGGAAAACCATGCTCTTATGGACCAGCGGCAAATATCAATTGACAATTAAAGTCAAGTTATGGAAAATTTCAGGTGCATAATTTTGACTTTATTGAGTTAATTTTAATTTATTTTAATCGATTTTAAATTATCAGATGTCACAAAGCGACGCATTGGATGAGTTGCACATCCTGACACCCCAACGACGAATTCCTTCCCACAATTATTACCCAATACAATGCATTCTTGAGTTGAGTTTGTCACAAGATAAATCGACTAACCTACATCCCAGTTGAATTAGCGGACACCGTTGACGACACCCTTATGTTTGGAGACTTACTTCACTACCACTGCATTGGTCGATGTGCCATTTCGGTGCCTAAATAAATAATGCAGATCTGCTAAGCAATATGCTGTGGTACGTGCTACCGACGCGGATCCATTTGGCTGCGAATTGCACTGGCTGGCAAAGTGATTCATATGTTTAATTTAGGCTCACCTTCTAACTTAGTGCATTGTCTTGAGAAAACTAATGCAGGAGTAGAGCGGGCTCAGTAGTTATTGTGACTTTACGGCAGAATATTAACGCTACTAAATGGTGCTCAGTAGGCGTTTCTGGAAAAATCGAATGCACTTGCTGTCTAAAATTTTGAATGCTCCGTTGATACTACATCATCAATTGTCAATACCTCCAACTCCCCAACTCGTTCAGCTTCTTCTAACCCAAAATGACTGAGCAGATTTGTATCACTCAGTAAAGAAAAGAATCTGTACTGACCGACTTGTGAGTAGTCCATAAGTCTGCTCAAGTCAAAGCTGATTCAGTTTCATTAATATGAAAGCATCCAGCTATTCTTTCACATATCTATTTGCAACAGTCAGGAAGAGATTCGCAGACAGCCCCTAATTTTGACAATTTTTGACCTCATCTACATTAGTTGCCGTCTTATTCCAAATCCAATATATTTACTCGCTTCCTTACCCACCTTCCCTGATACACATCGACCATTCCATCCACAGGTCTATACTACCAACTGTCGCTTATTCTGGCATAGATCGCGATAAAACTACTCTTCCTTATGGACACTTCTCAAGGAATCACCTCAACCCTGTTTAAATGATACAAGGAAAATTGTAAAGTAAGGAGGTCCTCTTTAAAATGTGAAAATATACCAAGAAAAGACATGCCATGATAATGATAGTGTTATGGATAATTAAAAACTAGGCATCAATCGTAATTTGATAGATGGAAGAAGTCAGTTTTTTGCTAAACATCACCTAAAGTGTGAGTAATCCTTCCCTTGGGGTTAGCATTCTACGATTTCCCTTCCTTATCATTGCTCAACATACCGAGTAGGTGTTCTCTTTCTAACAAAATTCGGCTTGCTTGGGAAGGTGCAGTGATAGAGGCAGCCGGATTAAAATACATTTGATAAGGA